ACCGCCGCCCCCCCCCCCCCCCGGAGTGGGGGGGCGCCGGCCAGGCCGTTCCCGGCGCGCGGCTGCACTCAAGAACTTTTCTGATAGGAGCGAGCAGGTAACTGCACTGTCACAAATCTTATGAATTCCCGTTTCTAGTCAAACTTGATTGGGTGATACTTTCAGTGAAAAGGATGCTTTTATTTTTCTGTTTTTTTTTTCCCCCCTCAAGACAAGAGCAATCCAGCCTTAGCCTCCTGAGTCGTTAGGGCTATCACCACATCCACCTTACTAGGATGGACTGAGTCTTGAGCCTGGGCCTCCCATGTGACCTCACCCTGCCAGTAGCAGTGTCAATCAGTGCATGCTACCATAGCTGGGCCAAATGAGACCAGCCAGTGGCATGATGGTTAAGGTGGCTGGATCCCACATGGCCAAGTGCAGTTTGAGTTCCAGACCTGGCAGCTTGAAGAACACAGGGTGTGTGTGTGCATACATTCCCAAAATCCTCAAAGGAGGGAGAAGTGGAGAAGGTATTGTAGCATCGCCATCCCTCAAGGGGGGTACTTTCCCACTTTCCCTCTTTAACAAGTGCACGTGCTGTCTGGCAAATTTTTAAAAATTACCAAAATGAAGCAGATACCCTTCGGTTTTTCATTTTGAGAGATTTTTGCTATAGGGTATGTACAGTCGTTAGAGAGAGAGAAAGCAAGAAATCACCCCTCGGGATGGGCACACCTCATTCCCCTCTTCTCCATTTTCCTTGGGATTTTGGGCATGGGTACATGCTTACCCAATGTGAATTTCAAGCTGCTGGGTTCAAGACTTGAGCCACGATCAACCATATGGGAGTCCAGCACTTCCACTATGCCACCTGCTGTCCCTGAAGCGGATACCCTTTAGAGAATAATCATGAAACAGAGGTTATTCAGAAATTATCTCCACAAACTCAGTACAAAGTCTGCCAGATATTTAATAGTTTCCATGTTTAAACTACTCCAGGATATAGGAAAAGAAGGGAGGGAAAAAGCAGACATCCTAACTTACTATTCAAAGTTACTATATCCTTGCTACCCAAACCTGGAGAGAATACTACAAAAAAGAAAGACTTGTATATGTGAATGAAAAATACATACTGAAGTTTAATAGGTCCAGCAATATGCTAATACATTCTTATATACACATGGATGTTTTATAGATGGGAAGAAAGTACCTTAAGGGACCAGCAGATGGTGTAATTATTACAGTGCTGGACTCACATAGTTGACCACAGTTTGAGCCTTGGACCTGGCAGCTTGGAACTCATGCTGGGTACGTGTGCGTGCTTGCCCATGGTCCTGAGGAAAATGGAGAAGGGATTGTCACATGGCCATCTGGGGAGTACTTTCTTTTTGTCTATTTCTCTGGTGAGCGCACATGCCTTATAGCAAAAATCTTTTAAATAGAAAAAAAAAGTACCTTGAAGATGTGTTTGGTGTAATTCAAAGTGGTGTTTAATGCCAGGCCTTGCATGTGTACACACAGTAGCACACACTAACAGGGCTGGTCACACTGCAATGATTTTTCTTCCAATTCTCCCCCGTCAGAATCCTGTGCAGATATACATGTCCAGGCTAAAGGGGCTGGGACCAGAACAGTGATCAGTCACATGGATTCTAGCTTCCTCTATCCAGTGCCT